TTGAATATACTTATAAATATCGTCGGAAGCTGTTTTTTTAACTTATCGCTACGAAAATCAATGATTTTCCAAAAGTTATTGGTTTCGTCCCAGTTTTCGAAAATCTAGGTTTCATCAGTTCTCGACGTTTTGAGGTCCCGAGGAGCTATTCCTGACTATTCCTACGAGGATGTCACTATGTCTTTATGTATGTATGTATGTGTGTGTGCGTGTGTGTGTGTGTGTGTGTGTGTGCGTGTGCGTGTGCGTGTGCGTGTGCGTGTGCATGTGCGTGTGCGTGTGAGTGTGTGTGTGCGTGTGCTTTTGCGTGTACGTGTGCGTGTGAGTGTGCGCATGCGTATGCGCGTGTGCGTACGCGTGCGCGTGCGCGTGCGTGTGTGTATGTACCTCTCATAATTTTTGAACGGCTTTACCGATTGGTGATTGGATTGGATCTGGTGGCGTTCGAAAATGTTCCATTAAACTTAGATTTTCAATACTGTTTTAATCGATTCGGTCCGGGTAATTTTGAGAAATGTCACAAACTAAAACTTTAATTAGACTGCTCATTATTCTACCTTAACACTAAAGTATATTAACGTGGGAGCACTACACTACACCTCCCACCACGGAGCAAATAAAATAAAATAATTTTATTTGCTTCTCTCCCACCGACAAAAGAATAAAAATATATGCTATCTATATTTTTTTATCAATTCTTAAAATAGATCCTTAAGATTATTCTAAAAAAGGTTAATATGATTATGAAAACTATAATCTAAGACATATCTAGCACGCAAAAATGCAGTCACAGTAGTATAATTGACATAATCAGGCATAATTAGGTGTAACATAAAATTATGTTTTGATTTTCACGAAAATTATCAATATTATTTATTCGTATCCTTAATAATTTTGTCATTATGCCTACCATTTATCTAGTCATGACAATAATGATAATATATATAAAATAAGTGTCACGTTGTTTGTCCGCGATGGACTCCTAAACTACTTAACCGATTTTAATAAAATTTGCACACCGTGTGCAGTTTGGTCCAGCTTGAGAGATAGGATAGGTTTTTTTTCACCATGAGTGACTTACATATTTTTTTGCAAATTTAAGGATTTTTATAGGCTATGACAAAGGGTCGTCGTAAAGAACAGAACAACGTCTGCCTGGCTAGTAGCTAGTATTTTATATAATATTCTCTTAATCTTCATAATCTTTTACATTTCAGTATTTTATTTTATTCTTTTTTTTCATATATTTACTTCATTCTTAGTTAACCATTACTTATTCATTTTCCTATTTTATCCATAACTAGTACTTTAGCTATTCATTACACATGTATGTCATTTCTTTCACGTACACGGCTCGCGTATATACATGATCAAGAAAATTACCAATATCATTTAATTCACTTCTTTACATTTCAGCTCATGTAATTCATTATTTAATTGTACCATAACTTTCACGTACACGGCTCGCGTAATATTCCTATACAATTCATAATAAATTATCATTTCCCTCATTAAAATACATTAAAACTTATTCCGCATTTAATCGTGTCCGAACAACCTTAAAAAATTAATCGGCTATTAGGTTTTCTAAACTCTCAGCTGATCAGGCTGATTGTATGTGGATATACTAACCTCCGATAATTTTCTTTATCTTACTCTCGCAACTATACATTATCAATATTTTCATTTATAATTATGTATTCCGTAACTTAACCATACATTTAATCACATCTTTTACTTTATATCATAAAATAATCTCGTATAATATTTAAATACAGTGTCAGTCAGGGATTGAGACACAATATGAAAACAATAAAATTTAAATCAATTAATTGTATAAGTTATCTAGTGAGTTTCAAAATTGTACAAAGCTAAGAAAATATTTTCATAATCCATACAAGTAAGTACTATTTTCCGAGAAAATAATAAATTGTATTAGTTAAAAGCTTGAGTTTTAAAAGTTCAGACAATATAATACCGAAAATAAATTACTACATAGCATATAAGAATGAAAAGAACAAAGAAATAAAAACGAGAAAATAAGTCATCATTACTACCATAACAACAGACAGATCAAAATACAAATTGTAATCCTAGCACCGCAAATATTTGGAGACAAGTTTATTTTAAATTCCAAAGTACGTATAAGGCATCGTTTGTAATTATAATACATGGAACTAGGATGACACGGTTTGATTCACGCCTAATTTCAAGATAACTTTTACAATATTTTATAATATGAATGCAAGTAAAATGTACCTTAAAAGGATAGTTTTAAACATTTCCTTAATTTATATAGAAGTTTATAAATAGTTACATTGTTAATATTTATGTCACTTTTAAATACATCACAAAATGCATTAGCTTTTTTTAAAAATACTTTTGCTATAAAAAAATGCTTTTTTTTAAAAAATCACTATAACAGCTATAAACTTCACACAACGATAGATTAATTTGTTTAATCATTATAAAGAACAATTTTTAATATTTTAGGTAGGTTATTATATAAATTAATGATTTAATGCCTTTAGAAAAAAAAACAATAATAGCAAATCGGTTATAACTCTTTTCAAAATTGTGTACATTTAAATAAAATTTACTACATAAAAAAAACACACACGAAAATTAATTAATTGTAAACAATTGTAAATGTAAATATGTAAAAATGTAATCTTCATATTATTTCATTCATGTTTTGCAGGACACAGTAATAAAAATAATATAAAACTATAACTGAATAAAATTGAATATAAAATCGTCTTAAGCCTTAATACAAATGCCACATAAGTACTTAAAAATGTAACTTAATTTTTAATAATGTATTGTAATAATGCATTTTTATAGATATTAATAAATATATTGGAAAATCAACTGTGTCGCGAATTATGTGATAATTTCAACTTGATAATTTATTAAATACAGAACATTTATGCATAATTTTTTTAAAACAAAAACAACATTAAAAAAATCTCTAATTATTAAGTTTTAAATGGAATTAAAAATCACACAGGTGCGAATTTACCTATTAGGTTTTCTCTGTTCTTTTCGGCTTATATTTCACATTCTTCTGGGTGATGCTTGCTAGAATACAAGTGCTTCTTCCCCTTTTCAATTAGTCTGCCAGTTTTAATTTTTCAGTGAGCTTCTAAAAAATAGTATTGTGGTCTCTTTTCGTCTTTGTTATACTATAGTTTTCTTGTCTGGTCTAGTATTGAGTCAATTCTTTATTGAAATAAATTATTTCTGCATTGTTATTTTATTTCGACAGTTTTTGCAGGCTTCGGCGGTGCGCTGCGACAATGCACGCACATCGCCTGGCGGGGTCGCCATGTAATATAGGAAAGGTGTCAATGAAGGAGACGTGTGGTTGGTACTGAAACTTTAATTATAATAGAAAATTAAGACATTAATTATTATATACTATAAAGATATTTCCAACAATACTTATGGAAACCTAATCTATATAAAACAAGATTATCAATCAATTCATAATATTTTGGTTAAAACATGTCAATGAATTAAGTTCAGCAATTCAATTATTTATTGAGTAATATCATTTATTTAAAAGAAATTGAAATAATTTACTTCCTATATTCATTTTTTAAACAAACAAATTGTTGTGGCAATCTGTTGTAAACATGTATTTCCATAGAATATACATTTTTTGAGTATAGTTGTAAACTTTGCTTTAATACACATAGGTAATTTATATATATTTCTACTAGTCCTAATTACAACATCGTTGTGTTTTTCAAATAAATTACTATTTTTGTGAACAAAGGCACAGATTTCGTAAATGTATAATGCTGGAAGCGGCAATATTATTTAATTTTTGAGTGATTGATGATGAGTGAACTATTAGTTCGTGAAAATATTTGTCGAGCGTTTTGAGATCGAACATATCGGGAAGTTCCAGGGATGGCCTGCAGGTTCAACAGATTTTTTTCTTAAATAGTATTTGCTGCGGCTGAACCAGTGGCATATTGAATAAAAATATTCTATTATTTATTATTATTACTTCACCTAGTGGCCTTTATGCGTCGTTGTCTGTATTTTAGATGGAGTAGTTCAATTAATTGTTTAACTTTTTTAAAAGCAATAGATTATCATTACACATAAAAAACATTTATATTGGACGCAATTTAAAATCTGTATGCTATGCTTAGGTAGATGATAACTCAAACCTTGATATTTTGAGCTTATTACTTAGTTTATTGATAAAAAGAAAAATAAAGTTTGAAATAATGTAAATATAGCCTTTATCTGAGTCAGAAACACAAATTACCTATCTAGTAAAAAGACAAAACACTTAACGTGTTTGACCATGCATACATAGTAAGTGCCGACCACTTACACAATAACTAGAATCTTAACACCCAACTGGTGGTGTAAGCCAGCGGTCCGCAACCTTTTTGGTATTGCGACCCCAAAATTCAAAAAAGAGTTATGAGCGACCCCAGAAAAAAAATCACTAAGTTAACAAGTGCAAAGGTTGGTTCAGGTAACGAAGTTAGCTGTTTTTATTTCGTAAATTATTTATATTGAAGAGTTTATTTATTTTAGAAAGTAATATTAGAGCAAACTAGAAAATATGCATTTAACATACGAGTAATATTTATGTGGATATGCAGACAAGCAATTATTTTAATATTTTATTTAAAAAAGAAGATTCATTTACGTAACCTTACAATCTAATGTGAACCTTGTGCTTGCACACTTGCAGTCAGTATATTAATTCTTGGTGATATATTATCAGAAACAGACACCCTCAAATCAGGTTCTACGTTAAGTCTGGAGCGATATTTTGTTTTTATAGCAGTTAATGTGGAGAAAGCTGTCTCGCAAAGGTATGTAGATGCGAATGGCAGCAATTTCAGCAGAGATGTTTTGAATAACAGTGGATATTCCTTTTCCGTCATTATCCAGAACTTGGATAGATGCGTGGTTTTGAAAATAGATCGAAGGCTTTCATCGGACATTAAATCGATCAGCTGCTCCTTTTATTTTAAGTTCATCTTCACATTATTAAGATCACAAGTGAATGGATTAATTATCCATTGGTCGCCGTGTGACGTATCTGGGAATCTTATTTCCAAGTCTTGCTTAAGGTTTGTAAGATGCATCATGATTTTGGTTTTAATTTCTTCTTCGAGCTTTATATTGTTTTCTTCAGAAAATTTTTCCAAACATGCAAACATCTCGTAGTTTTCAGCACTGATTTCGTCTATCCACAAACTTATTTTCCTACAAAAAGCTTTTATTTTGTTAGCTAAAATCAATACATTTGTACTCTTCCCTTGCAACGATTGATTTAAATCGTTAAGTTTTTCAAAAATATCCGAAAGATAGCCAACTGTTGCCAATCAATTTTCATTCAAAAAAATATTCCGCTAGCTTTGGTTCCCGTTCAAGTAGAAATATTCTGATTTCATCTTTGAGATCAAATACACGTCGGAGTGTTTTTCCTCGCGACAACCACCTGACCTCCGTATGTAACAGTAGATTTTCGTGTTCTGATCCCATTTCACGACACATTATTTTGAAAAGGCGACTGTTTAATGCGCGAGCTTTAATAAAATTTACTATTGTTACGACTTGTTCCAACACTTTATTTACATCTGGTTGCAAATGTTTTGCCCTTGCAGGCTTCACGGTGAATCATACAGTGAACAAAGCCTACGTGAGGTGCAATCTCAGTTACTTTTGCTTTGAATTCTGTTTTGGAGCCGGTCAATGCAGCTGCGCCGTCTGTACACACAGATACACAATATTCCCACTTTATGTCATGGAGTTCAAAAAAGGTATTAACTGCATTAAAATTGCTTCACCGGTTGTTCTTCCTTCTAATCCCTGAAAAAATAACAAACCTTCGCATATGTCGTTTTCATTACGGTATCGGATAAATATCAGAAGTTGAGCTACATTAGCTACATCAGTGCTTTCATCCAGCTGAATAGCATAATAGGGACTCCCTTTCACGCGATTTGTAAGTTGTATTTTGATATCATCAGCAAGTACGAGTAGATTGATACGACGATGAACAGTGTCACTTGATAGTGGAATTGTTTTCAGTAAATTGGCATACTTTTCTCCTTGCATGATCGAAACCATTTTCATTGCAGCTGGCAAAATGAGCGTCTCGCCAATGTTGTGAGGTTTTTTTAGTTTTGGCAATCAAAAAGGAAACCTCGAAAGATGCTTGTAAGGCTTTTTGCTTAACTGTTGTGTATTTTTGGAAATCAACCTGCTGTGACTAGTTTGATGGCAAGTCGTTTAGAATAAGATTCATCTTTATTTTTTAACTGTGGATGCTTAGTTTCTAGGTGCCTTTTCAGTTTGGCCGGCTTCATGCTCTCATTTGCCAAAACCTCCGAACAAAAAACGCACTGTGGACGTTGTTCAAAATTCAACACTGTACATTTAAAACCAAACTGGATGTACGATTCTTTAAAGATGCGTTGACGCTTCCCAGTTGTCTCCGATGTAGCTGTTGCTTGTTTAGTTGAAGTTGAAGCGTCACTCTCTGTATCGATGTGTAAGGTAGATGTGGCTGTTGAACTACAATCATCGCTGTTATGACTAATAGTTATAGTAGTGGAACTAGATGTTTCTCTGCTTTCATCGATAGTAATAACACTACTAGCACTTGAAGTGGTGGCATTGGTCTCACGACTTATATTACTCGTAACAGTAGTTGTCATTGTAGAATCTGAGGCGACACTGCTGTCAAGAACTAGGTGTTTAATTCTTTTGATTTGTGATGCGTTATTAGGACTTCCGCCACCTGCATCTGTAGATGTGCGTTTTATTAGCCACTTATCCATTGTTAACTGCAATAATAAATACGTATTAATAAATAAAAAATGTATTCCAAACGATTAATATTAGATTTTTCGTCATATGCTCGCGTGGTAACAGGATTTACTTCAAATTTATTTTCAACGAAGCACAAATAGACAAGCAAAAAAAGTGGCCAAGTGCGAGTCGTACTCGCCCATGAAGGGTTCCGTGGTAGCAAGTAATGATATGACTGGATGTTAGTTGTAACTTTGTTTTTTCATAGTGAGTTCCTTGTTTCTCAAACGGAACCCTAAAAATACGTAAGTGAAGCATAAAAAATATTTCGCGCTGGTTTTGTTACTGAACCCACGCGTCCAACATGACCGCGCTGCGATGACGCCTCACTTTATTTTCTAAGTATGAGTGCACAGTTACTTACCGTGTGCGTGGTTATCCACGAGAACACTAATCTTCTAAAAAAAACTTTCTACAGAAGTAATCTTCCGTGTTTTAACATCAATTTAGTATGTATTTGCAATCGACAAAGCGGCGATGAGTACACACGTGCGGATAGAACTGGACTGAACAGACAGACAGACAGACTGAACGAAGAAAGAGCGATAGGGGTGGGGGCGCGGGCGCGGGAGCGGTGAGGTTGTGACCGGCGGGACTGTACAGGTCGTACAGTCGTAATTATTATCGATTCTCTCCGTTTTAAGGATATTGTGTAATTGTGTATGTAAAGAGAGGTTATATTTTATACATAAACCTTAATAAAATTCGATAAATACAGGACCTTTTTGACTTTTTTGGCGACCCCATAAATATCTTTCGCGACCCCACACGGGGTCGCAACCCCAGGGTTGAGGACCGTTGGTGTAAGCCATGGTACTGCAGGAAAGCCGTAAATCGGGCATTCAACTGAAAAATTGAACTTAAACTATTGTAACAAGCTTCAATTTTAATTATAAACTTGGTTATTAATTTAACTGCCATCTGTTGTCGAGTAGTCTAACTAAATTAGATTAATTTTATCTGTAGATAAATATATAAATAATTATTTGAGAAAATGTGTTAATCTGTTACAATTTTTTTACAAAAACTTAAAAGTTAAAGAAATTATATAATATATTAACATATTTACTTAAAAAATAACAACATAAAGCTGGCAATATTTCAGCCTCGCCGCCATAAAGTTGTAGCATAGACATTTATTTCTTTTCCTTTTCTGACGTTGCTGTCAAACAACAAAAACAGCACGTGTAAAAATGCGTATTGAAACTTGTTATTTCTGCTCATCAAGGATATATCCTGGTCATGGGATTCAGTTTGTAAGAAATGACTGCAAGGTAATATTATTTTCCTAGAGGTTTATTTTATTATTTACGTTTATTATTACAATTACGCCACACATTCAATCGGTTACAGATTTTCAGATTTTGCCGTTCAAAATGTCATGCAGCATTTAAAAAGAAGAAAAACCCACGTAAAACTAAATGGACTAAAGCTTACCGTAAGACTGCAGGTAAAGAACTGGCGATTGACCCCTCATTCGAATTCGAAAAACGTCGGCACATACCGGTGAAGTACAGCCGAGAATTATGGGAGAAAACCATTGAAGCGATGAAAAAAGTGGAGGAGATTAGACAAAGGCGGTCAAATAATTATATTATGCAGAGATTACGAAAAGGCCGCGAAGTTGAATGGCAACGGGACGTTAGAGAAGTACAAAGGGATATTTCGCTTATTAGGTAAGATTTCATGCTATGATCCTATTTTTACTGAAGTAAATGAATGTACGTAGATCTATTTTATTGTTTAACTTTAAAAACAAGAACATTTTAGTATTTAGTATTTTTCAAAGTAAAGAATATCATTAAAATTTTGGGTATGTTCGATCATGCTGTAATCCAATGCATGTTGTATGGTGTTCAATTGGAAGTATATGACGTCATCTTTTCAGGAAAAGTGTTGGCGATTATTTTGTCATTTTGTGCTCCAAAATCATTTATCCTCCTATAGATATACCATCAATTATTCTATAATTTTTTGTATTTGAATAAATAGAAACAAATTCTGGCTGCTTCATTGGCAAAATTAAAAATTTTTTTCATACACTTGGCGCGCGCTAGTACAATAAAGTGTCAAATGATCGTAATTTTTAACTCTGTTATTGTAAGATTTGACAGAAGGGAATAAACCAGGGGATGGGCAGCAGCATTTTTCCATCCTTGAAAATATTACACTATATATATAATTAAGGATTCACCTTAAGCTCAGGGACTGTATTATTGATACAAGTGGTACAGATACAAGATTAGATAGTAATGAAGCCAATTTCTGTTTTTTTTTTATACAATAAGGGTGGCAAACAAGCACACAGTCCACCAGATTGTAAGTGCGTGGCCTGTAAACATCCACATCTATCCTCAATTAAGAATCAAAATGCAGATGCATTGCCACCCTTGAAGACAGATGTAATGCCTCATTTCCACTAAAAGGGCCTCTGGTTCTCTACACTCACCATATTATAGCAGCATTCAGTTACTATTTTAGGCTGGTAAAATATTATTATTAATTCTGTGAGAGCGAGGTACTACTCCAGTCGATCCAACCCATTTGTGTTACAATCATAATATAGCTGCAGCATAATTCTATCACTTATAAAATGAAATAGGCGATAACAGTATCTTGACAACAGTACCACCTTGCTGGGTCAATTGAGAATCTAAACCTTCCAGGGACGCACTCTGTAATGTAGGAAAAGGTGTGTGCACAACAGCATTAAGCTATTTGACGCTGGTATTCTGTGAGAGTGTAGTCCTTTCCTGGTCGAACCCACCCATTCATGCTGCAACCATAATATGGCTGCAGCACCTGTCTCATTTTGGTTTCTCTAGTTCACTCGTAGAAAGATATGCTTAACAATATTTTTCGGTAGCTTGCTGAGTGACTGAGCTTATTCTTAAGGCCATTAGTTAAAAACATTAAGATATGCATTATTATCACCTAATTTGTTTTTCAAACATTAATGGTGTATTGGCGGTGTTAGAACATCACTACCTTATAGCATCCTATAAGTGTCCTAAAAACGATGGAGGGAAACTAAAACTGGATGTGGGCAACACCATCTTCCTGACAAAAACTCAAAATTATAAAAATTGCAGACGTATGCCAAATGTGGCTACTATGGTCCATCCTATAAGAGAATATATGGGGGAGGCCTGTTCTGAAGTTCAAATTTTTCATCACTGTAAATACATGATAAAAAAATCAAATTACTTTATTCCAGTGACAAGTCTATAATTTTGAGTACAAACCATATTAATTAAGAAATTTGAAAACTTTACATAAAATTGTACCCTAAATAAATTTCTTTCTCCCTTTTAAGACAGTTAATTTGTATAAAATAATAATGATTTTTTTATAAAATTTGCTATAAAATTTATGAAACTACATGCTCTACTTCCGCTGGCTGAAAGCCAATGGCAGCAGCTTTGTTTCACAAAATGTAATATTGCATACAGCAGTAACTGAGTAGGCAGTTCATCTTATTTCTTAGAGTTGTAACAACTTTACTATCTAATTTCAATTGTTTAACTATTATGTTTTTTTCATGGACGGGGAAGTTGTTCAAATAAAAGAGAGCCTTTCCCACTGTCCTAATTCACGTTGATGCAACACAAATCTCAGAAATATTTATAATTTTTCAGATGTGTAGTTTTTTTGTAATGTTTTCCTTTAGCAATTAACAATTTCATTGGAGCCATTTTAAATAAAACTCTTGCTCATATACTATGATTAAATGTGCGTGCTTATTGTTGAATTAAGAAATAATATAAGGCATGTCCCCTAAGACCATTGGTGCTGTAAAATGCCATTTGATCAGACTATGAGAGTTAGAGAATAGAGAATGTTCTTGTGCATGTACACATACTCATCCACTATAATCCTGTCCTGTGCTGGTGCTTAGCCTAAATTAAGACTGGTTGTTATGACAAACATTCGGTAAAGGGCATTTTATTTCTAGCTATGGTTATCAATAGCGCAGAACCACAATGATAATGTAATTTTTTAATATATTTCAGATCACCAGCTGCTGGCCTTAAACAAAGACAAGCTGAAGAAGAAACGGAAATGGAAGTTGAACCTGAAACAATTGAAGTTATTGATGCTAAGGGTCGCAAGCAGGTTATCGAGGCTCCGGTCATGGTGCCTGCTACTGGAGAAATGATTGAAGATGGCGGTGACATAGAACTATGATACAAAGAGAAATAAATAAACTATTGCTAATAACTCATTATTGTCACATCAAAGTTCATATTTTACTG